ATGAAGTGTCGGAGTAATGGCCCACGGGTAGGCTCACCCGAGTCCCTGGATTTATCAAGACTTTGGTCCAGCTCCGCCTGGCTGGGCCCCGAGCTGAAGCTCCGCGCTCAGGGAGCCGGCTGGCTCAACGGCCGGCTGCCAGAGGGCAGCAGACCCAAGACTACGGCGCTCCGGGTGCCCGGCTCCTGCCGGCCGGCCTCCAGAGAGGGCGGCAACGGGCAGACGGCCACCTCGCGACCATGGCACGGCTGAGCCCCCATCAAGAGTACAAGTCAGAGCATGGCTACAGTGAAGCACGTCGCTTCCGCCGCTCGGGACAGGCGTGGCTACAGTGCTCCATATAGGCGGAGATCTCCTCACGACGGGGCACTGTGCAATGTCTCCTCTGACGTCACTCCGAGTAGGCGGAGTCCTGTTCCCCACGACGGCCTGTCAGTACGGCCTGCCGGTGGCGGGGCCCATCGGGCAGTGAGCCCCGCGGAGGATGGCGGAAGCCCAACCAGGCGGATTCGGGAAGGGCCGGCCTCCAGCAGGCGGCCGTCTCTTGCCCCGAGGCAAGCATGCCATTAAGCTGACAAGACCAGGAGTGGCTACAGTGGCCCCCCCACCAGGCAACGGGACTGTAGCCACACTAAGATGACCAAGCCCCCGTCATCAACAACACGGCTACAATAAGCAGCCACCAACCAGCCGGCGAGGCCCACTAGGCGGCAGGCCCCAACGGTCGGCGGAGAAGCCGAAGGCTGGAGACACTGACAAGCCGGGCCCAGCACCCGGACGGATTACCATTGTACCCCTGGGGGGTAGGCCTATATAAACCCGCCAAGCCACCCATGCAAAGGGTTCCAACCCTGATAGAAGCAGCCAGTTACCTAGGGCAGGGAAGAGCTAGCCTTGCCTTCTCCTACCTCTAGACACAGCTCAAGGAGCAACTTGTAGCACTAGTGCCTTAGTTATCATGCGGAGACCCCGCAGAGCAGGAGTAGGGGTATTATCTCCACGGAGAGCCCCCAACCTGGGTAAAGTCCGCCGACGTACGTGTCTACGCCTTATCCCGCTTCCAGGCACCGGCGACGTTTTACTCGCTCCCACCATGATAAGCCATCCGTTGACATATATCGTACCCAACCCCCGACACGAAGGGAAAATGGGAGGCATGGCTGGAAGGTAGAGCGTCGAACTCCAACAAGATAGTTGGAGAAGAACTGGACATCAATTTGGAGAGTCCAAGTTGCCGTCAAAGATCAGGGTATTTTTGTGGCGGCTTGCCAAGCACTCACTCCCCACGGCAAAATTGTACTAATTCATAGGAATGCATGTTACAGGAGATGCAAGATACGCGGTCACGTGGATTCCTCGAGGCATTCCCGTCTGGAGTGCATAACGTCAGTGTGTGTATGGGCTCTGGCTGAAGAGGACGTGACCAACCTATTGCAAAAGGGTCTATCTAAGAATCAGTCGATTGAGACTTCGCCAAGTTTCAGTCGGCTGATGTCAGCATCCGGGTACAGGCGGCCCGAGGCCCCGATTGATTCTCCTCCTCGCTCGTTTTGTTATCCTTTGGGCCGGCGTGTCATGTACGAGGCCTTTTTCTCTGTCCTTTGTTTTTCCTATTGTCTTCTTAAGTGGGCTGCATCGATCGGAGCATCGGAATTTTCTATTGTTGCTTGTACGTGAGAAGCGTGGGAAGCCTTCTTTTGTTTTCTGTTATCTTGTCTCCTACTAGGTTGGTTTCTCTTTTTTCAACGCTCTCAGCACTAGTGTGTCTCCATGAAACATAATGCATACAAAAAAGTGTAATTGTTCTAAAAAAATAGTGTAGTGTAATTGTTCTAAAAAAAATAGAGTATTATTTCAGCACATAATTCTGACACAAAAAAGAAGAACAATAAGACAAGGAAATGTGTGCGTTAAACATGTGTGCGAATCAGTGGCTTTATTTTAAATATATATGACATCACTATTTAGAAAAAATAACAAAAATCCAACACACAAAAAAGAAAATAGAAAGAAAAACCGAAAGTAGAAAAAAAATCAAAAATAAAACACATAGTTGCAGTGGTGTTGAAGACATGCAGTTGTAGTCGGAGAGCGAGACACTTGCACTTGCATGCCTAGTAGCAGACATGCAACTAGCACCTTCTCCCCTCCAACAAAACAACATAGAGTTGAAGTGTCCTCTCCTCACTAACAAACATCATAAATGTTGCAGCCGGGGTGACATTTGCAGTTGCATGCCTGGTAGCAACCGTCCTCTCCTTGATAAAACACTACAGAGTTGCGGTCTCGTCCAAGACATGCAATTGCATTCAGCGGCGACACTTGAAGTTGCGTGCCAAGTGACAGACATGCAACTGCCCTCTTCCCACCGACAAACACCACTAAGTTGCAGCTGGGGATGACATTTGCAGTTGCATGCCTAGTAGCAGAGATGCAACTATCCTCTCCCGGACAGAACACCATAGAGTTGCAGTCTCATTAAAGACACACAGTTGCACTCCGGGGCAGCACATGCAGTTGCGTGCCAAGTGAAAGACATGTAACTACTGTCCCCTACCGACAAACACCACAAAGTTGCAGTTTGGGCGACATTTGTAGTTGAATGCCTAGTAGCAGACATGCAACTATCTGATGTCTGACAAAACACCACAGAGTTGCAGTATCGTAGAAGACATGCAATTGCACTTGAGGGCGACATTCCTTGCAGTTGCGTGCCAAGTGACAAACATG